ACATCATTCTTAAAAAAATAACCACTAAAAACACACCATCCACTACCAACAGCTTTCTGCATAATTTAWTAAACGAGCAAACTCAACAGTTATGTTTTGTTGCCAACAATCATGAGTCATTTCTTTACATTCAAACAAAGACGAGTGCCCTCCGAACAACCAGCGTGTGACGGAGTCAGTAAAATAATCCTGGGCTGTAAACAGATTCAGAGGAAGGACAGTGGAGTCGCAGACACCAGGCTTTACAAAAGAAAATAAAGTTATTCTCTCTTCTTCAGAAAACAAATGCTGACCAAAACTGCAGGGACAAGAGTCCACTCAAGTAGAGGTGTTTTTGGTCTCWGATGCCAAGTTTTATAAAAACTTGATGAGTTTTCCTCTTGAAAGAAAGCAACATTCCAGAACACATCTGCAAACCCTTTTGTTCCTGCAGAAACTTCAGCACGGATGAGTTCAGACGATCCCACCAGGCCAGAAGCTGAAAGTGCTTTAATGAAGAACGTGTTGTAACAAGCAGAGCTGCAGTTCTTCTGTTTCTGCAAAGCATTCCAGTGTCTGAAAACCTTTATTCTTCTTTAAGAAACAGATTGTCTTTTGTCTTTGTAATTCTGAAGCTTTAGTTTTCCTTCAGGATTTTGTCAGAATGGTGGAAGTTTAAAAACTTTGTTTCACATTGCATAATCCTCGTCTGTTGGACTTTGTCCACTTTGTCTTTTGGAGCTTTTTAAGGACCTCTTGTCCATGTTAGCTGTTCCTCTGCTGCAACGTTCAGAAACATTTGACTCTTAGTGTCCACACTCAATGTCCACACTGAATATAGACAAAGGAAAACCAAAACAACTTCAAACTTTGCAAAAATCTTTCATATATATTTTTAAATTTTATTATCAGATGATAAAAATGTTTACTCCCAAGCTCTTTAATGTTACCCACCAACCTTCTGTTAATCTCTACTTCCTCACTGCTGCCTTTTAATCCACAAAGCAGATGTTCTGTCTCACAGCAACATTATAGAGAAAATATAGTGCTCAGCTGCAGACAGTTTGGTGTAACTCTGTTCCCGTGTCTCAAATTCTACATTTTCCCTCTGTTSTTTGTTTTATTRTGAAGRAGGTCAATCATTTTTATAAATTGTTACAAGGCTAAAAGTTAAATTCTCATTAGAAGGCCTTAACAGAGTCTAAAAAGTTAGTCAGCAGTGCCACCTAATGCTGTAATGCTAAAATGATTCTAACATTTTATTTTCCCCTTATTTATAGAACAGAAGAGAATTTTCCCTCAGAGTTTCCACTGGTAGATCAACAGCCAGCTGAACACAAACAGAAGCACACAGGACACACAATCAAATTTTACATTTTTAGGCAATAAAACTATAAACATGACTAAAATACTGAGTGAAAAACAAATCCGTTAATAAATAATAAAGACAAATAAAAAATGTGGGCTCATTATGTTAAACAGGAACTGTGAAATTGTGCTTTTGTTTGTGTTAAAACAGAAGGGAAGTCCATCCATCCATCCATCCATCCATCCATCCATCCATCCATCCATCCAT